AATATAATACACATTGTGAGTGCATGATGATTGTACGTGTTGATGTGTGAAGAATGCATGATAATATATTTGCGAATATGTATGCAGTTTGTGTTGATTGATCCCGTGTAGGATCTGCAGAGACATCGTGTGCCCATGTGGGGTGTGAGCGATGGTCTATAACTGATTGAGTCATTTTGTATGAGAACCATGTATGAAATGGTGTGAAATAAATGATGAATATATATATATATATATATATATATATATATATATATATATATATATATATATATATATATATATATATATATATATATATATATATATATATATATATATATATATATATATATATATATATATATATATATATATATATATATATATATATATATATATATATATATATATATATATATATATATATATATATATATATATATATATATATATATATATATATATATATATATATATATATATATATATATATATATATATATATATATATATATATATATATATATATATATATATATATATATATATATATATTTGCATTATGATATATATGTTGTGAATGCATAATAAATGTATGCAGTGAAATGTGATAGATGCATGAGTATGTTTGTAAACATGTATGCATTTTGTGTTGATTGATCCCGCGTAGGATATGCAGAAACCTCGTGTGCCCATGTGGGGTGTGAGCGATGGTCTATAGTTGATTGAGTCATGTTTGCATGTGAAGCATCATGATATGCATTTGTGTTATTTGATCCCGTGTAGGATCTGCAGAACCTCGTGTGCCCATGTGGGGTGTGAGCGATGGTTATATTTGATCCCGTGTAGGATCTGCAGAGACATCGTGTTCCCATGTGGGGTGTGAGCGATGGTCTATATTTGATTCCGCGTAGAATCTACAGAACGATTGTGTGCCCTTGTGGGGTGTGAGCAATCGGATTGTGTGCCCATGTGGGGTGTGAGCAATCCATAAACATTGTGTGCCCATGTGGGGTGTGAGCAATGGGTGAACATCGTAGGCCCGACGGAAAGTTACTTCGGTAACGAGCGATGGTTCCATTTGGTTCTTCAATTGAACCTGCTGAATTGAGTCGGTACCGCATTTGCATCTGCATAGAGTCGTGAGTCGGTCTCTATGAGTTGCATAATTCATCTTTATATGATGCATTGGTGAAATAAACATGTATGTGAATGTTTATGTGAAATGGTGATGATATAAACATATTGCGTATGTTTATATGAACTAACGCGAATTGCGATAATGGCATGAGTGAGTATGCTTGAAGATATGTATATATATGTGGGTTTACATGGTTTGATGTAAACGTTGGTGAATGTATATTGTATATGCTTGATGTTCTATTTATATATAGATACTTATATGAATACATTGCGATGTATGGAATGATTGAGATGTATGAATAAATATAATTATAAATGTTTGTGTGAAAATGATGTGAATTGTTGAAGCATGATTGATGAGTATGCTTAGTTGTGTATATATATATACATGCAGTGTAATGTATGTGATGAATTGTGAATAATGCCTGAGAATATAATAGTACATGTATATAGGTAATGAATAATGATTGGTAAATATGAGAGTAATATAGATAATAATGTTTATGTGAAAGATTTGTACTCACTGGGGTAGAATGGCAATGTGTCGTTCCTAGTGGAGTAATTACCGGGGTAGAATAACTGAGGTGTTATTCCTGGTAGGGTATAAGTGACGTACCCATAATCCTAAAAAGGGGATTGGTGATATTGGGTGAGTTTTAAGTGAGTCACATGGCATGGTTATGAGTGTTATATGAAATATGCATGTGAGTATGAATTGTTGAATTGTGGGTTGCGATTGAGTAATTGAGAAAGATATTAAATAATGAATTGATGATTAAACATGATGGCGTATGTTATATGATTCGTGATGAATGAAACATAACATGTATGTTTGTGAGGATTAATTGTAATTGCGAATGTATGCATGATGAAATGCTTGGTTTTATACATATATGCTTTGCGATGTATGTTAGTGGGTATGTGAGGTATTGTGGTGAAGAGTATAATATGTGTATTTGATGTTATGGATATATATTATGTGCATGGTTATTGTGTTAATATGCATTGTGGTGAGAAAATGTGAAATGTATGTATTGTGTACTTGCGCATTTATATATGATTATGTGTTTTGATTATTATGATAATATTTCTCACCCTTCTGCTGGAATGATGTCCTTTATGACATCGTACATGTATCTTGGAGTTGTACTGCTAATAGTTGCGAGGTCTCTGCTGGTGCAGTCGTTTAGTATTTTAATTATGTTGGGTCGAGTCATGCTCTGGTTATGTAACACTGGGATCGTTTGGGTTTTTGCTTTAGAGATATTTTATGTATTTTAAGTTGTGTTTTAAATGTATCGAAATATTGTGATTTTGGCCTTAGTTCCCAAGTATTGTTGAATTATGAGATGAACATGAATGCTATGTGAAAAGAATTATGAATATAAATTGAATCTGCTGCTACATGCAAAGTGAACTTTGAAAAGCATGATTATTTTATTTGAGTGTTTAAAGCATGACAGGTGGTTTTGATGTTTTGAAATTATGTGTGACGCCCTTTTGTGAAAGCATGTTAATTTACTCTGATTATTTATGTATTTTCATGTGGGGTTAGAAGGGTGTTACAATTTTCTTTGATAAAACCATTGGGGTTTTGTCCTCCAAGATCTAGATAGATTTAGGGGTTTTTGTACAAGTCTTCGCATCACAGTTCCAGTCGACTGAAAGCCTTGAAGAATGGTGGGTTCGGTCAAGGGAGTAACGGTAATCGGAGGATCGTTTTGGAAGATTTGGGGTCAAGCATCTTCCGATCGAAATCATCCGAGTGAAAGACTTAAAGAACGAAAGCTTTGGTCAAGTGAGTAACGGTAACCAGAGATTTGTTCGTAGTGCTTGATACACTTTATTCAGCTAGAATTAAGGGGAGAGAAGTGGTTAGATTCAACCTCAACAATTGGGTCAGATTGTTGGTTTGCTAGGACTTCTCTTGTATTGAATATTGCACATAGATTTTATACATATCTCAATTCTATTTTTAGAATTAAAGGTAGACGTACCATAATCGATGACGAAAGTGGAACTGCCTAAACAAATTGGGTGTCTCTCTCTATCTCTATCTATTTACTTTTATATTGTTGAAGTTTGTGTGGAATCAATTGTTAGCAATATTTTGATTAATTTGTAGTGTTTCAAACAGTTGTGTAAAACCATTGCAATCACTTTGATTGCAAGTGAGAAAAAATTTGTACTACAAATTCAAAGAAAACTTGACTTGGTGTGTTTCGCACGCCAAGTGTTTGATATATTGGTAACATACAAATTGTTAGATAAATTCTCAATACAAATTTTATACTCAATTAAGCATTGGAAACTGATTCACCTTAAGTGGTTTTTATTTGAATTATTGATTGGGAATCTTATTGATTATACTCTCTCAAAGCCTGGAGGTTTGTACATGTACACAGTTTCATCAAGCTTGTCATGCAAGAATGTATTTTTAATATCCAATTGATGAAGACATCATGATTTTGACAAGGCAACTTTGGTTGTGCAAATAGTAGTCGATTTGACTACGAGGTTGAAGGTTTCAGCACAATCAACGCATGTTTGTTGGTTCACTCTAATACCTATAAGGCGAGCTTTGTACTGCTAGAATGATCCATCTGAATTCTTTTTATATCTAAAAATCCACAAACTTCGAATAATATAGCATTAGATGGACAAAAAACTAAGTCCCATATCTTATTTTCAATAAGAGAACCATATTCATATTTCATGATCATTTTCAATTAAGGTCATGTAATGCATTTATAGGGTTTGTAGGTAAGGAAAATATGGAATTTTGAGATGAAATATGTAGGTTAAATAGTTTGCGAGGTTAGACTATACCATATTAGGTTCGGATAGTCATTTGAGGTGAGTATTGTGGTAATATTGATGAAGGCACTAAGATAGTAAAATTTGCTCATTTGCTTCAACTCAATGATAATAATTAGGAATATATAGAATAACTATAATAGGAAGAGTGTCCTTCGATTTTTCATTGTAATAGGATAATGTTCAAAAATAAGTAGCACTGAGAGAGTAGAATTTGCAAAAACTAAGAGTAAAAAAGAAATACCTCACCAAAATATATGAGGAATGGTCAATTTTACAGAAGAAATTTGGGTTAGAATGGTTGAGATTCTAATAGGGACAAATGAATGAAAAATCGAACGGAAGCGACCGTAACCAACAAATGTAGAAAAATTAACACCATAAACACAACCACCAAGAAAGAAAAAATTTTGAGAACCTAAACTCTTTGATATGATATAAAAACTAAGACATTAAAATTAATTGTATATTTATTGTATGTTTCATGTACCTACGTGTTCCTATTTGTATTATAGGATTGGAGACAAATCAACAAATAAAATTATTAACATTAAGGTTAACTATTAGTTATAATTGCACATCAATTACAATAATTGAAGATACCAGTAACACATTATCGTAACACATGATATTTAAGATTATGAAAAATTTCAATAAAGTTGATAAAGTTTTGTCGATTTTGTTGAGAATACCAATAGTAACATTTCAAATGCTCCATAACAACACAGCCGTCACATTTTTATCTAAAATCTTTAAGAAATTGAATATAAAATCTGAAGATATTAAATATATAAGTCAGTTCCCTCATAAATCCAACATTTTTTTTCCATTCATAATTAAATACGGTTGAATTTAGTCATAGTTGAATTAATGCCCCCAAATATATTAATAATGGTGGGTCACTTTCTCTACATCTTCTAGTAACTTTCTTCATGCTAATCCAAACAACTCTAATGTATGTACAAAATCTTTCTCCCAACAGTTGCAAAAATTTTGTACTATTGATTATGTCTCACCATTAGATTTTCTAAACAATTATTTTATTTTTTTTAATTTTTCTATGTTCTTCCCTCCAAGAGATGAGGTAATGTTATCTTCCCACAGTTAGAAGGATCCAGCTTCCTGAATTGATCACAAATTTGCATTACATCTTTGTCTTGTATTTTTCCCATCTCTTTCAGCTTGAAGATCACATATTCTGACTTACTGAAAACAAATCAATGAAATTTCTAGTGAGAAAATAATCCTAAATAGTATATAATCATTTAAAATAATAACTAGCACATAAAATAATTGAATAATGCATGCATTATTGAATCCTTTATTGAATGTCACACTCACACTCTTCCCCTACATGTCTGCTAGTGATTAAACAAGAGTAAAACGCAATCCCATCTAAGTTGGTGCTTAATTAAACAAATTCAAATTATGTCTTCTTTTGACCAAGAATATATTGATATATATCTAGAAATCATGATTAGTGAGCAATGATTATAGCTAATTGTAATTATTTAAGACGAAATAAACTTAATTAGAATATCCTAGTTATCATATCCGTCTCAAGTTTTTATAAATCCTATATGAAATTTAATCATGGCATAACAAATACAAACCCTATTTAACCACGATTAAACTGTGACAAATATTTTATTAAACTATATTCAATCACAGTAATTATAATGAATTTTGAGCTCTGTGAAGTAGTCTAGTCTGCATTTCACTTCCTCGTCAAAGACAGCCCTACTTATTCTCACAAAGAATAGTCTTGTTGGTACTAAACTCAATAATCAACAATACTCTTCAGACAAGTTGCAAAAGATTTTTCCGCAACTACAATTGTCGCCGCCAAATCAAGACATTTTTTCTGTTTGTCTAACAGCATCAAGACTATAATTGTGGCCGCATCAGCCGCATTAGACCTAAGTTTTCTAAATAACAAGAATTGCAATGCGACCGAAATGCATCATGGCTACCACCAAATTACCATGGTTCTAAATCGCAGTCGCAATAATGATGTAGACCATGATATTGCAACAAAAAGCAGACAAATAAGGCCGATATGGCTGCAATGCAGTGCTATTGCAGAGATCTCTAAACCCTTTATATTGCATTGCAAGTTTGCAACCACAATTGCGATCGCGGACAACAATTTATAACTATATGCATTATACCTAAAACAAAAAAGGTAAAGAGGTTTTGTTATGTTACCTAATAAAACCAGTATTGTTGATATCAGCAGCAAGCCAATCTTCAATAGTAATCTCTCTATGCAAAACCATCTTAGCCAATCTCCTATGCCTTCTATCAATTCTAGCCTCAGCCAAATACAGAAAAGCCCTAGCAACCATCAAAGTCGAAAACAACAACCAAATCGCCGCAAACAATCTCCCCGGAAGCGTCGTAAAAGCCCGATCACCATAACCAACTGTCGTAACAGACATAACCGCCAGATAAACAGAATCAACCCAATTCAAACCCTCAACAAAACACAAAACCAAACTCCCAACTCCAATACAAAGAACAACAACACCAAGTGCTAAACCAACCTTCAACCGAATCCTCATCCTACCTTTCGCAACATCTACGATGTAATCCCTAGCAGAAAAACCCTCTCTAGCACCCATTTGAAGACCCGTTAAAATAGTGTTTTCTTGCAAATCTAAAACGAAATTAACAAGGCCGCTCAAGAGTATATCTATGAAACCAAACCCTACTAAAACGAAAACACAAGCGAAAAGCTTAGTCGTTGGGGTTAATGGAGCTATGTCACCGTAACCGATTGTGCACATGGTGACTATACAGAAGTATAGTGCGTCGACGATAGGGTGAGTTTCTATGCCGGAGAAATTGTTTGTGTTGAAAGAGTAGATGGCTACGCCGATAGAGAGGTAGATTAGGAGAAGCCAAATGCCTTGTCGGATGATGGAATTGGTTTGAGGTTTAGGGAGATGAGGTTGGTTGGTGGTGGCTGGTTTTAGGTGTGGGAGAATGAACATGGCGGGTGCGGTTTTGCAGCGGCTGAGTTTTTTTTGTTTGGAAGGAGAGAATGGTTGTTGGTTGCATGATTGAATTTCCGATGATTGTTGTGGTGGTGGTGGTTGTGGTGGTTGTAAGGCGGCGAAGTCGTTGAAGGATTTGGAAGAAGTGAAAGGTGAATTTTGACGGTTGATTAGAAGGAAGGGATCGTTTTCCATGGAAAAGAGAAAGAGAAGGTAAGATGAGATTTGTGTGTGGACTTGAAAGTGTGTTTGGGAAGAGTGACATAGGTTTTTGGTTGTGAGTTTGGGAAATTGGCAGTTGTGTGGGGTCATGCCACGTCTGTTCATCACATACAACAGGTGATCCTGGAATTAGATTCTCTAATGTTGTAACTTTTTTTTTAATTTTTAGCCTTTTTGGTATGGCAATAAGAGAAGTAAGAAAAAGAGTTAAAAAAATGGAAAAGTAAAATGAGAGTAAATTTGATTCTTTTGATAAAGAAAAAAAAAGTTTAATTTTGAGTAAATTAATTTTGTAAAGTTGATTATGGTTAAAATCGACTTCAATGCATCAAAATTATTTATGTTTCGTTCAGGAATCAATAATAGATATAATTGATGAATTTAATTTCTTAAATGTGGTAAAGATTTATGATACGACGGTGTAGGGTGTATTTGCATGATTAGCACTTTAACGTTTAAATCAGTTTAAAATTTGATGTGGGTATATTGAAAAATTGAGATCAGTGTATCTTACTTTCTCGTGTTAACTGATTTATATCTTGGGTCACATGTGAGATGAATTTGACCTTTGGTCGATTCAAAATAGTTTCTCATAAGACTTTGTTAAGTTAAGTGAGTCGGGGAAGCCTTTAATGATTTTGGACGGCCTGCAAGACATTGTCTGAGTTGAACTAGACCTAAAACATTTTGAGTCAGTTGAAAAAGTAATGGGAAACAAGTGCATTAAATGCATTCCCATCATTGAAATGTTTTACTGCTTGCTTTTGACATGAGTGTTGATGCAACAAGTTAGGGCACGGTGCATCTTGTAATACATATGAGTGCACTCGAGTTTGTATGTATCATCGGGAAAAAATTTAGTTGTTGATTTCGTAACATCTTTTTTCAGTTGATTTGGGTCTTCCAATCGCCCTCGCTTATAAGTAGAAAGAGTTTAGCGTTTTGAAAACTTTTTGCAATCTTTGGAATTCAAGCTCATTCTCACACACTTTATTGACAAACACTCTCTCCTTTTCCTTCCTGAGAGTATTAACTAGGACAATTGCAACTCCTTGACTAGAGTTTATATGATTTATCAATCTCACACAACCAGATATCTATCTCAACTCAAACTTTTATCTTTAGAATTTTCCACTATCTAGCCAGGATAAGCGATATTACTGTCAACTTAGTGAGCGATTATGAGAGAGAAACTTTGTCTGCCTCAAGAATGAGGACATCCCTTAATTCTCATCTCCCTTCTCTTGATCATTGTCATACCCTAAATTTGCCCATACTTTTTTTGTTAATCAAAGGCATTGGTACAAACCATCAGAGGGTTGTCAAGAAATTTTGAGGCTTCATCATTGGTAGAGGCATGAGGTAGAAGTTTGTTGAGCACCTCAGAGGTCATGGTGGAGTTGGAATGACCACCCTATTCATCTGCATAATGCCTAGGCAAAAAGGGTGAAATTAGGGTTTTCAATTTTAATCAGGCTAAACTTGTTTCGGGAAGTAATACTTGTTTCCATGGTCCTCCATATGTCCTAAGGTGTTTGAGGATGGGAGATTGACCATCAATTTTAATCATAAGAGCTTCAATTTATCAGTCAATCGAAAATCAGGAGATTTGGGAAAAAGTCAAATGTGCAGTGAAAACGTCAACTCCTGACTTTTTAAGGTCAAAATCATGTTCCTCAAGTTCAATATGACCAATGGATTGAATTTGATAAAGAAAAGTCAAGGGAATCATGAAAAATCAAGAATTGTTGAAAGTTGCCATTTTAAGGAAATTAGGGTTTTAGAACTTTCTATTTATGGAAAGTTTTATGTTTGGAACAACCATATTCAAAGCCATTTTTCTTCATGATCAAGGTTTCAAATGAACTTGGATCAAACATCAAAGTTGTTCCTTGTATTTCAAGCTTTCTTTTGAGTACCAATTCATAATAATGTGATACTTGGAGCTCAAGTTATGATCAATCAAAGTTGAGGTTTTCAATGGTTTCAACATTGCCAAGATTGGACAGATTTTTGGACTCAATTTGCAAGCCAATTTTCATCAAGTTCTTGAAGTCAGATGGAACTTTGTCCCAAATGAAAGTTGTAGAGCATGTTACAAGCTTTCCAAAGAGTCCCAGAAGTCCTCAATATGATTTGTGAAACTCAAGTTATAGATGTGCAAAGTTGAGGAAAAATAAGCCAAATCTATAACTTAGAATTTTTCTAAGTTATTTCTGGACAGCTTTCATGACATGATTTTCAACATCATTTTTCATGGTCTTCCAATCCTCAAATCAATATGACCCCAACATGAAAAGTGTTCTACTCCATGCGCTCTTTCATTTGAGCATGAGTTCTAGCCAAATTGATCCTTGTACACAAAGATATTATTGCTCAAAGTTGATGTTTTGAACTTGTTTCAAGGAGTGAAACATGTAGCATTTGTGCTTGCTGATGTTTTTATGATATTGATCTACTCATGCCCCATTTCCATGTGCATGGGATGCTGCATTGGGAGCCACCAAACATTTCCCAAAATGAACCAACACAAGCTTGTACCATTTTGCCCCATTTTTGAATCCTTAGCCAAAACAAGTAAAAGACAAACAGCTCCTACTGCTCTGCTCCTTGCAGCCCAGCAAGGTCACTCTCTTCATCCACAAGCAACCTAGAATGAGACAAGAGAATGCAGCTGGATGATGGATCTTGAAGATCAACCATTGATTCAAAAAACCACCATGGAATGCAAATCTGGCCATTCAATCTTTACCATGGTGAAAACCCCCCAAACCTGATTTGATTCCATATTTAAGACCAAATATCAGTTAACACAAACCCTAGCCACCAGTTTGCATTAAGAAACCAAAAAACTCATTTTTGGTGAATCATCTCAACCCTTTCGAAACACAAAAAATTGCCTTGTGCAAGTTGGATATCAACACCTTATCCAACCATCCAATCACATCAAAAATCATCCACACAACCCACGCATGATCTTTGGAAGGTGTTCGAACAATTAAACCAGCCAAAAACACCATAATTCAAAAAGTCAACTTCTCACACTATGAACATTGACTTTCTTGCATAAACCAACAGAACACACTACCTAAAGCTTTCAGAACCATTTTGACACTTTAAACACCTTTCATTTATGTCATACTAGCTGTTTGAAACTCCAAACAACAACGGGAAGTTCATTTGTTAGTACTATCCTCAAAGGTGCATTCTTTCTTCAAAAGGAAGCAACTTCACAAGCTTGTTCAAAGAGAAGGGATTCTTGATTTGTTGCAGCTAGACTACAAGAGGTATGTTATTTTGAACTCCTTCACTAGTATACATCATCATGTGTTGGTTGTTTTTTAGTTCAGCTTGTACATTACCATGTTGAAGTAGTTTGTTGGCCATGTTGTCAAATGTGTGTGAATACCATGTGTGTTTGTTGTTAAGATGCCATTAGGGTGGTGTATGTGTTTATTACTTTCATGAAGTTATGATGTTGATTACTTGATGAATCTATGACTTAAACATTGTTATGTTGGATTAATCACCAAACTGTTTAAAAGAAGATTGTCAACATGTGAAGCCTAGGTTTAGTGACTTAATGTTAAGTTTTGTTGTGTTTGAGGTTTCTCATGGAAGGTCTAACTTTGTACATAGTTCCTAGACCTGTTTAGCTCAATAGACTTAACCTATTTGTGCTTGAACTTTAATTTGTTGGTTATAACTTGGCTGTCTTGGCCTATCCTGAGGTTCGTTAACATCTTTATGCCACCCACTTTTGTTGAGACTTTGAAAAGCTTGGTTTGTTTGAGTTTATGATCAGTTGAGTTCATTAGCTCACTTGGACTGTCAGAGAGGATGAGACCTTGGGCTATTTTTTATTTCCCTACTATCAACTGTACTTCATGGCTAGTTTTGTTTGATAACTATCATTAGGGGCCTGTTGGTGTTCTAGGTGATATGGTTGGGTGTTAGAGTGGTAAGACTCCATGAGTTTCCCTACTGGTGTTTTATTTGTTTAAAGATTGTTTCCATGTTTTTGTTAAAATTCATGACAATTTGGATTTTTAACTTCATTACCATAGTGCCTTGATTGCTCATTTCATGCCAGCATATCTCTTGGATCTGTTGAAAGTTTTTTGTCTTGGCTTGAAAGTTTTAATCTGATTCCTGCTAACCATTTGGTCTTAACCCTTGGATGTGTTTGAATCTGTCCATAATCATACTGCCATTCATATGTTCTAAACCAAATAACCTTACTGAAGTTCTGCTTTGATCCTGTGAAATTGGCTGTGGGTTCAAGTTGGCTTGTAGTTTCCACTTTGAGCTGTTAACTTGTGTTTAAACTTGTTCCTAAATTATTGCAAATGTGGTGTGTGTGAAGTATGCAGTTTTATGTTGGCTGGATTAGGGGGTTGTTACTGTCAGATCTATTTAGGACAGTTTGGTTTCAATGAGTGAACTTATTGCTGCTGTGACTGTTGTTCAGCTAGGCTTTTAAGAGCATTAGCATGGTTGATTTGCTTTGTTCTGCCAAGGTTTGTTGTTGGTTTGAGTAGGCTAGTTCATATTTGGTTACCAATCTATTTGAGGTCTGGTTAGCATAATCATATCAAGGTATGTTTGCTGCCTAGGTCAGTTTGAATTTGGGTTGGTGTGTTGTGACCATGTGAGCTATTGGTCCTTGTTTCTGTCAGCTTCTTGCTTTGAGTTTGTTCAACATGTGCTTGCTTGTAATATATTGAGCTATTGTTTGCATTGTGATAACAAAGTTTGTAGTTGTTCCTGTTTTAAACAAAAACTCATTTGGTTATGGTTTTATTGTGAAAAATGTTGTTAATCATGTTGAGTATGTGGCTGTTTAGATCAGTTTGGGTTGTGTGTGTGTGTGTTTAATCCTTGTAAAGGCACTACTGTTGGAACTCCTCATGAATGCTGATGAAACACACTACTATCATTGGTTGTTAGTCTCTGTTTGAGGATTGATCACT